AGGGATGGTCTAGACAGTATTTGGTCCTGCCATGCGGGCAGGGGACTGGACTCGATGACCTCTCGAGGTCCCTTCCAGTCCTAGAATCTATGAATCTATGCTCTAAATTATTGACATGTGCTCAACAGTTAATCCATGTTAATTGTTTGTCTCAGCATTTCCATATTTAAATTATAAATATGAGCCATAAACAAGAAACCAAGAGAACGCTACCATGTTTTATGACAGAACAATTTAACAATTTCAAGATATGTAGTGTTCCCCTGAATTTTTTTTTTCAAATTATAACTTTCAGTTCCAGATTCAGTTAGGTTATGGCCACTTCACACTGATTTAGAGCAACACAAGGCAACTGGAGTACACTGCCCAGTTAAGCTGGGTTTACAGCGGCTTTGCATCGCCTGAGCCGAGCACAGCCCTAGAGTATAAACCCCGTTTTCTCTCTCTCTCCTGCTCCCCACATTTCCCTCCCCCCAACATGCAAATTCCCTTTCCCTCCTGCACCCACTTGTATCTTCCTGCACATCTTTCCATCGTTTCCCCTCCTGGCTGAATAATGCATCAGGCAGTTTTTGAGGAGATAGCTCAAATTAATCACTGTTGCCAACTCTTGGAATTTTATCTTATCTTGCGATATTTAGTGTTTCTTAAAGCCCCAACTCCTGGACTTGTGTGAATACATAAGAATTTCAGTTCTCATTTTAAAAGTTTCCAACCCTCCTAGTTAAGGAGGAAAAGCTTGAAATCGTGCCCCAAGCATAACCCTAGAGGTTCAAAAACCAGACGGTAAATCAAAACCCAACACATATTTTTAAAAGCCTTATGGTTTTTAAATGCTTGGTTTTGGCACTACGGGATTAGTGGTCATTTTTCTAGTTATTCTTCATGACTGGAAGCTATTCTCTCAGAAGTTGGCATGTCTTCAGAGAAACTCAAGGACTACCCTCTTTCAAAGTGGCAATCATCATCTATTGTTCTTAATGGGACTCAGGCCACGGGTTGCCCTTAGAAAAGATGGTGCAGAACATGGTTCCAGGTCATATGACATCATTACATGCTCAGAGTGTCTCATGGGGGCTTTGCCAATTGGATCAGATAGAAAGTCCAATGCAGGAGACCGATCCCATCAGCCCAGGTCTGGAGGCCCTATTCTCTAGGGATGATCTGGGGAATTACAAATCAGTAAATCTCACCTCTGTCTCTAGTGAATTGGTTGAATGGATCCTTTAAACTAGAACAAAAACATCTGAAAGATATGATAGGGTTTAACCACCATGATTTAGGGAAAGGAAAGTTGTCTTTTTCCAATTAGACTTGCATGCATGTAAAGCAGGGGACAAATGAGAACCAGGTGATGTAACTTACATTTTCAAAAAGCCTTTCACAAGATCTCTCAACAAGAGGCTGTTAAAGAAACTAAGTAGCCATGGGGTGAGAGGCAAAGTCCTGTCACAGCTCAAAAACTGGCAGAGACAAGAAAATAGTAAGAATAAGTGGTCAATTTTCATCATGATAAAAGGTTAACAGCACAATGTCTCAAGGATCTCCATGGAGGTCCAGTGTTTAATACAGCTTGTTAATGATCTGGAAAGGTGAGCGGAGCAGTGAGGTAACAAACTTTGCATATGAAAAAGTTATTTATATTAGAGAAACCAAGTTAGGTGAACAGACAACACAATGGCAAGTGAAATTCAATGTTGATAAATGCAAGGTAATGTACATTGGAGGGGAAAGTCAATGAAGACCTCTACTCAGTGGGCAAGTGCAGATGAAAAAGCTAATAAGATAGTATAATGCAGAAAATATTATGCTATTATATAAATAAATGATATAGCCTCATCTGGAACACTATGTACAGTACTGGCCTTCCTACCTCAAAAAGGGTATTGAAATAGAGAGGTTTCAGGCACTGATATCAAGACTGATTGGAGCATGGAAAATTCCTGTGGCAATAGTTTGAAGAAATGTATTGATTAGCATTGAAAGGAGATAAAGAAGGGACATGATAAAATCATCTAACATAATGGATGGTCTAGTGAAGGTAGATCAAGACATTCTGTTCTCCCTGCCTCATAACACAAGAACAAGGGGACATTCAATGAAATTGATAGGTGGGAAATTCAAAAAGAGAAAATACTCCAGCACATGCATAATTAAACTCTGGAATTTATTGCCATAGAATGTCACTGAAGTCAAGAATTTTGAATCTTGCTAAGAGGGATGGATAAGAATACCCAAAGTTATCACAGTTAATGCTAATAAAGCAATGAAGGGAGATGAAGTCCCATCCTCCAAGGTTTAAAGCAATCTCCGTTAGGGACTGAGAGCTTCATGGTGGTGCAGATTACCCCACATCTGCCTACTGTGGGGCTTTTTGCCCCTTCGTTGGAAGCACCCAGTGTCTGCCACCATCAGAGAATAAATAATGGGGCTGATGGACCACGGGTCTGTTCCAACATGGCAATTCCTGTGTTTCAATGTCAGAGTCTTTTCTCTGACCCTCCTAGGGCTCAGGATCAGATCTCATGGATCCAATACTTTGGATGAATGCTGATTCTGAGCCCCTAGAACTCATTTCAATAATTCTCCACAAGGCACTATGACCACAACTACCCCTCTCAGCCTGGAGGGAGGCTTAGTGGGCACATTATTCATGTCTGGGGAGGCTTTTCAGGAAGAGGTCTCCTTAATTCATGCACCACCACAACACCTTGCTGGACCCATGTCTTTTGGTCCGTCTGGTGTCTTTCTGAAGAATTTGTAGGCATCACAGGCACAGCCATTGGCAGCAGAATGGCTCTTCCCCAAGGCATAAAAGGCACCTTTTGGGCCCATCTGAAACAGAGAACTTACCCAGGTGATTAGGAATAGCTCCTAAATGCAAGGGTTTTTGATGATCTGCCATCTTGGGCAAAGCTGGAGGCAACCCAATATAGCAAAAACTACCAGTATTTATCTATTATCAAACATAAATCCTGAATCTGAATTAAAAGTAGATTAGATATAAACTACAATCATTTTAAGATAACGATGGAAAACAAGGATAATTTCATGATCACTCCAGGAGGCAGACACTGGAACCGAGGTACTGTTAGAAGGGATTTTAAGCCTTATGACTTAAAATGTTGAGCTCTAGTGAATCGTACATGCCCCTAACCGCCAACTATTGCCCGAAAACAGTTCCATGATCTAGTGGTTGCACATGCAGCTCCTACTGGGGGGCTCTGTGGAGGCACTATTATAAATGAGAAAAATGAATGATGTGGAAAGTCACTGGTGGTATGGAATGATTGGGTGCTCTGAAAGGGTGCTGGCTGGTGAAGTGCTTTGGGATGGGATGGTGATGGAGAAGTGGTGGAAAGAAGATACATCACCACATTAAACCACTCTTCATCTCGTCCATCCCTCTCTCTTCACCTCCTCTAGAAAACACAGTAAACTTGGGAAAGACCTAATAAGTGAAAAGATCTGTAAGACAAAATATAAAAGTCACAAAAATGCTCCATGTTCTCAAGCTAATACAGCAATGTATTTTTAGTAATTACCTAAAGACCTATAAGGTCTGGTCTTCACTTGAAGGGATTTGCTGGTATAGCTGTACCAGCAACCTGCCCCCAGTGGAGAGACAGCTTATACCAGTTCCACAAACAGACTACATTATATGAACAAAACAACATTTTTGCTGGTATAACAACATCTAAGGGTACGTCTTCACTTACCGGGGGGTCCGGCGGCAGGCAATCTATGTTCTGGGATCGATCCCGGAAGTGCTCGCTGTCGACGCCGGTACTCCAGTTCGCCGAGAGGAGTACGCGGCATCGACGGGGGAGCATTCCTGCCGCGTCTGGACCTGCGGTAAGTTCGGACTAAGGTACTTCGAATTCAGCTACGTTATTAACGTAGCTGAATTTGCGTACCTTAGTCCGAAGTGGGGGCTTAGTGGGGACCAGGCCATAGTAGGGCTTCTGCATAGTTATGTCGGGGGGGGGGGGGGAGAGGGAGAGAATGGGGATTCACTGGTCAACACAACTATGCCAGCCACATTTATAAGTGTAGACCAGGTCTTAGTAGGAGAAAGTAACCAAAGATGATAGCAGGAGTTAGAACAATTGTCTTATCTGTTAGTCTCATCTCACCCACTAATCCAGACTCAGTATCAGGCAGTCCAGCCCTCTTCATCTTGGAGACAAGTTTATGCAAATGTCTTTGAGTGCCACTGTACAAGCCCCTCAAGAGACTGCTTGGCACATTCAAAGAGTACTTCCAAAGCTGGAAGATCACTACAAACATGAGGGAACAAGAGGAACATGTGTTCTGGATTGGCAGATGTTCATTCTCCCAGAGATCATTTAACATATTAAAGTTGCACTGTTTCCTTAGTGGTCATCTGCTAATCCAGACTCATTATTGGGAATTAGCAAGCAGCGCAGAATGATATTGAAGATCTGGTTTATATTTCATAATTCATACTCAATGCAATCCTAGCTAAAGCAGGAGTTTAAATTCTGTTGAACATGAATCCTCACACTGTGGATGAAGCTGAATTTGCATGGCAGATTCCAGAATGAATTGTGGTCAAGTACGTTGGATTTTTTTCTGGGGTCTCCCAGGATTTGCATCCCTGAGCTGCAGCTCTGCCACCTTTGCAGGGTGCAGGGTGCCCTCCCCCCACAGTGGCTAGCTCTGCCAATTTATGCAGGGGGTAGAAGGGAGAAAAGGGATCATAATCCAACGTTTCCCCCTACCCTCCCTGACCCCTTTCGAACAGCTAATCCCCAATCGAGATGCTATAGGGAACAGGACTGCACTCTCCCATAGCTTCTGACCAGCCTCTGTACATTTTAGTGCAAGGGTGCTCCTTGCTCTCCCATGGAAGGGCCTGCCAGCATCACAAACATTATATCACTCACTGTTGGGTAAGGATTTAAAATTTCTGAAAAGTAAGAAGCAAATATATTCAGTAGTTTAGGGCTCAGAGAGCTGATTACTTTGAGATTTCAGAGCCAGTATCGCCTTTCTAACCTGGTTAATTTAAAGCCTTTGTTTTATCACTTGAAATGTTATGGAGAAGTACTTTGGAGCTGAAAATTATCCTGTGCATAGCCCATTTTTTGCCCCCACAAAATTAATATTACTTGTTATTGTATCTATTTCTGCAACAGAAGCTGAGGAAATTGGTTTCTGTCAAAAGAGAAAATTTAAACACAAGAAATGAGAGCACAAGATCTTATAGCAATTTTTTCACTCTAGCTCTTTGATATTTGTCAGCCTTCTTGGCAGAGAAAAGTCACGCCACCTCAGGCTGACTTGACCAAAATTCCTCCCAGAGGCTGCCAGCCACACTGTGGCACTTTCATCCACCAGTACACAGGGCAGGCTCATCCTCACAGGGATTAAAAGGTGCCCAAATCCCACTGTAATTAAATGGGAGCTGAGGTGCTTAATCCCTGTGGGTTCCTTTGAAAATTCCTGCCTAAAGCTCTGCTCCCTGGTGCAACAAATGAGAAGCACAGGACAGTCACAACAATTGAAGTAAGAAAGCATCGACCCCCATCCCTGAAGAGAATCTTAAAGTAAGAGCAGTTTGTTAGAGACAAATCCACTTCTTGAGTACAATCCCAAGATGAAGTTAACTGGTGGATTCAGCTGCCCTAGCCCCATATGCTTGTACATACACTTTATCTAAGAGACATCTACATTCAGGTGAACAGGTGCACTCTCCATCTTAAAGACCATGGATTGCTTTGTCCATGAACAAATGGCTATGGTAAAGCCCTGATGACATCTAAAAGCAACTGCCACTGTGGTTGTCTACTAGCCTTTTATACTTCCTCTTCCTGTCCCACACCTCTGCTTCCGGCATATGGGGCCTGGCCCTCCTGGCTCCACCCACCAGGTGGCTTGCGGCGTTCTCTCTGTGTCTGCCACGCCTCCTTGCTACAGAAACCTAGAGATGATTTTGGGGGAGCTTCACCAAGAACCACCTGAGAAGGTGTGCCAATGACAAATGCAGGAAGTTGCCTGACATCAGGGTCTACCCGCAATGCCAGGTGGACCACAGTTGAGCTTCTTGAAGGTGAGAGCAGCTGATCATTACTGACAACAACAGTTTCTGGCCATTGCACAATGAAAGCAGGATTGAATCCTCAGAGAAGAAGAGTAAAGGAGAGGAAAAACCAAGCGCATTCCCCAGCAAAGTGGGGAGTCTCCACAGCTTGTTAGCTTTGCTGCAGGGGCAGGAAGACTAGGCTGAAAGCACCAAACAGCCTCCAAGGGCTGAATTTGGACACCAACAGAGAAATTCATGTTTGCAATGTGAAGTGGGCCAGACTACAAAGAATCAAGCCTGGCAGATGGCTTCTTCAACAAAAAGGGGCTTAGAGACTACACAGTACTGTTCTTCACAAGATGCAGCACAGATTACATTAGGTATCCACAATACTGTTCCACACAGGACGTGACAGAGATTAAGAGTGATTTGCTATAAAGGAGAAATTCAAATTGCAAACGATTTAAATTGGTCTCAGTTTGATAACCAAGCTCTACAAGAGGAGGCTTTAGAAGAACACTACTAAAGCTTAGCACTTACATTCTCCAACCATGTCACAAAATGGAACATCTGTATAGGCTAAGCATAGTAATAAGCTTGCTTACACATACATAAATTGTGACCACACTTTTTTCCAAAAAAATACATAAATAAAAAAGCAATAAGTGGAGCAGCACTGTATCAATTCAAGATCACCCCACAGGATTTTGGCTTCCAAAGCAGTGGCTGCCTTTACTAAATCATAAGAGACCAGCAGTATGAGCTGTCACTTTCAAAAGACTCCAAGAAACAGATTTTGCTTCCCAGCCCATCTCAGTTAAAAATTAGCAAAGCTCCACTATACAGCCGTAAACAGATGAAAATTAGTTTGGCTACATAAGAGAGGCTACATAAGAGAGGCTCCATGCTTCACCAAAACACTCATGCAAGACATGTAAAGATCTGTTCCTGCAGCTCCATATCTGGTTATTTTAAGAAATCCCAACCACAGAAGTATCCAAACCCTGCAGGGTTGATAGCAATAATCCTTGCATTTACCCAACATTACTCACTTGGATTTAAGGCAGAATTTAATTCTGAGGATGCCTCAGTGGGCTAGTAATAGTAGCATCCCCTCTGAATGTTTATGTGATAACCCTACTAGATTATGGTGGAGTAGTAGTAACAAAGGATGACCCCCAGCTGTGCTGGATGGACATGGAATATTGAGAACCTGTCACATTACCATGCAAAGATTCAACATAGAAAGAATCAGAGGGGTAGCCGTGTTGGTCTGGATCTGTAAAAAGCAACAGAGAGTCCTGTGGCACCTTTAAGACTACCAGATATATTGGAGATTAAGCTTTCGTGGGTGAATGCCCACTTCGTCGGATGCATGTAATGGAAATTTCCAGGGGCAGGTATAAATATGCTGGCAAGAATCAGTCTGGAGATAACGAGGTTAGTTCAATCAGGGAGGGTGAGGTCCTCTGCTAGCAGTTGAAGTGTGAACACCAAGGGAGGAGAAACTGTTTCTGTAGTTGGCTAGCCATTCACACTCTTTGTTTAATCCTGATCTGATGGTGTCAAATTTGCAAATGAACTGAAGCTCAGCAGTTTCTCTTTGGAGTCTGGTCCTGAAGTTTTTTTGCTGTAAGATGACTACCTTTACATCTGCTATTGTGTGGCCAGGGAGGTTGAAGTGTTCTCCTACAGGTTTTTGTATATTGCCATTCCTGATATCTGACTTGTGTCCATTTATCCTTTTGCATAGTGACTGTCCAGTTTGGCCAATGTACATAGTAGAGGGGTATTGCTGGCACATGATGGCATATATAACATTGGTGGATGTGCAGGTGGATGAATCGGTGATGATGTAGATGATCTGGCTAGGTCCTGTGATGGTGTTGTTGGTGTAGATATGTGGGCAGAGTTGGCATCGAGGTTTGTTGCATGGATTGGTTCCTGAGTTAGAGTTGTTATGGTGCGGTGTGTGGTTGCTGATGAGAATATGCTTAAGATTGGCAGGTTGTCTGTGGGTGAGGACTGGCCTGCCTCCCAGGGTCTGTGAAAGAGAGGGATCATTGTCCAGGATGGGTTGTAGATCACTGATGATGCGTTGGAGAGGTTTAAGTTGAGGACTGTAGGTGATGGCCAGTGGAGTTCTGTTGGTTTCTTTCTTGGGCTTGTCTTGTAGCAGGCGGCTTCTGGGTACACGTCTGACTCTGTTGATTTGTTTCCTTATTTCCTTGTGCGGGTATCGTAGTTTTGAGAATGCTTGGTGAAGATCTTGTAGGTGTTGATCTCTGTTTGAGGGGTTGGAGCAGATGCGGTTGTACCTCAGTGCTTGGCTGTAGACAATGGATCGTGTGGTGTGTCCGGGGTGGAAGCTGGAGGCATGAAGGTAGGCAT